TTCCTGAGGCAATCCACCCCAGCCATGGCCAGGACAGGAAAGAAAGGATTGCTTCAGCCCTAGGACCCAGTTGCACCTCCCTTCTTGCCCCATGCCCTGCCCCACACATCCGGCTCTTCCTGGCCACTACCTCATACCTGCTTCTAATCTGCAAATATTTAAAGGTGACACCTTCCTTGATTCACCTCCAATCAGCCTTCCTTACCCAGTCTGTGTCCAGAGGAAGAAGGCTGGAACCGGAAAGGGGAGCTCTCTGTCCACCCCATCTCTCACCCGCAAATCACCACGATTCCCCGTCCTTTGCACCCTCCCCCTCCCCCCCACAAGACCCACCAGTTGTTCGGAATGTGCCAGAAGACTGGGAACCTCTGGGAGTTCCCTTCTTTCAGGCAGGCAAAGTCCCCACTCCCCCTGGTGGCTGCACCTGATCACTGCACTGTTGCTAGCACGAAGGGGTCCTGGAGAAAGTCCCTGGCTTGGGAAACTCAGAGGCGAACGAGTTGCCCTTTCTCTCACCCCAACCCCCCATCTCTGGTAAAGATCCCAAGAACTGTCTCTCCTTGTCCTCACCCCCACGTCCCTTCAGCCAACTACCCACTCACGCATCTCCTATGTAAAGGTTGGGCCAAACTTCATCCACGTGGCTGGAAGAAACCTTCCCTGCCCTCAGGAGCTCCTCCAGTTCCAGGACGCTGGGGCAAGGCGTGGCTTCGGCATCTCCCCTCAGCTGTGAGAGCGAGGCCTCCGCCATGGGCCAGCCCACCCACCCCTCTGTCTCTGTGGTCACTCCTCTCTGCCTCTCCAGTGTCATCCCTCCTTCTGAGAGACTGGCAGGGACAGGTGAGACAGCAGCAAGTGACTCAGCAAATTACAGGGGCCTCTAGAGAAAACAGGACGTTTTCCTCCCCAAGTCACCCCCTAGCCCGAAACTGCCTGACCACAGGGAATCAGATATATCTCTGCGAGTCACTTTACCTCTCAGCCTGTTTCTTCATCTCTCAAGTAAGGAGAATTTTAAGGATTAACTGAAACAAAAGATACTCTAACACACAGTAGATGTTGATAGATTTAGAGTCCTGTATGAGGCTATTTGGTTCTGAGGACTGAGTTAAGGTAGAGATCCAGGGTGCAGAGGAGGTGGTTGGCTCCAAGGATGCATGATGGGAAAAGTTCTTCAGGTTTGGGTGGGTCACATACTAAGCGGAAACTGTATGACTGTTGGATGAGCTTCTGGATTATGGGACTCGGGGGAAGTTCCCCAAGTTACAGAGTCTGAGAAATGTGGAGAGGCCTGGAGGACCTCATCTAAAGGGTGCCCACAGGATTTGTGGGGGAAAGTTTGAACAATTGTTCTGTTATGAAGATGACCGATTTCTCAAAAGAGAAGGCTAAAATGGGCCATGTGTGCCAGAGAGGCAGAAGGGAGAGATGAATGTTTCCCTCTAACAGAGCCAAAGAAAGGATGTCATCAAAAATATTTTTGGGTGGGAGGGAGATTCCTCTGCCTATAAGGGATTTTGTCCTCACAGCAAAAACAGAGAAAGTCTGTATTTGTCCTTCTGCCAGAGCTCCTTGTAGGCTGAAGTGAGATGTCTTGCCCACTCTCAGATGCCTTCATGAAGGCTTTGTGGGGGGCACGAGCTGTAGTGGGGAGGCTCCCAGTTGCACCTGGCTTTGAGTCTGGTTTGAGGGTAAAGGCCATACCAGGGCATTCCATGGAAGCAGGTTGCACTCATGTCCACCCAGAATCTATCCCCACTCCCATCAGAGCCACTGAAGCCTGCCTTGCACTGCCCGAGGAAGCAAGGTGAAGAGGGGGCTGGAGCCCAGGTCCAAGGCCAGTTTTGGACTTGGTTTGTGCCACTGCTAGGCCTGAGGTGGGGGCTTCCCTCAGGGTAGGGTAGTACAGTAAAGCGAGAAGAGCATAGGTTCTGAAGTTAGACTTCAGTAGGAATACTGGCTTCGGCACATATTAACTGCCTAACCTGAGGCAAGGTTTCTTGGCCCTTCTCTGTCGTGATACCCTGCAGAGGTGGAACAAGGATTAAGTGATATATTTATATGGCATTTGGCATAGAGACAGTCAGAGAGTAAAGGGGCAATAAACAGTAATAATGATGACTGGAGGTTGGCTCTTGGAAAGGAGCTGGCTCCCTGCAAAGGAATTAAGGAAAAGCCTCCTCTTGTTCCCAGTTTACTAATCCCATAGGCCCCGCCCCGCTCCGCCCCTCCTGTACCAGCGCCTCGTCGCTCATCTCTTCAGCTTTGGACCATTTGGTCCATTTGCATGCTCTCTCTGGTTTCCCTGCACCCGTTTCAGGTCGCCGCCCTACCCTCTCGCCCATCTTGAACCCCGAGTCCCTTCCGGTTTTGGCCCCACCCCTACCCTAGGGCTCCGCCTCCCGCCGACGGGCCCCCGCCTCGCGAAGCAGTTCCGGTTCGGATTCGAGCAGCTGCCGGCACGGATAAGACCGCGGCCGGAGCGGGGCCGCAGCGATGCCTGCGCGCAGCCGCCACCGCTCCAGCCTCCACTCCGGCTTGCTTACCCGGGCTCCGCCCCCACCCCTTAAGGCGTCTCTCTCCCGGGAGGCCCGGAGGGCACCGGACTCCGATAGCTGCTCGGACGCTGACTCGGAGGCGGGTCCCGGGAGCCCGATTCGGAACAAGGAGGTGAGCAGCAGCTGAGGTGGAGGAGAGGGGAGTTCGGGGTGGGCGCGTGCAGCAAGGGTGAGTGGGGGAGTCGGGGATGGAGGCGGGTGGGGGTGCCATGGACAGAATTCGGAGGGGCCCTGGGAGACGGTTGAGGGACCGTGGAGAGTCCCCTTTAGAACGGAATCTGAGGGAAATGGAGGTTGTTGAGCCAAGGGCCTGAGGCGGGTGACGATGGCCCCAGACTAAGGGGTAAGTAGAGGCCGAGGGACGAGCGATAGGGTGTGGAGGCTGAGGGAGATGTGGCCTTGAAGAGGCAGGGGCATGGAGGTTTTGGAAAGCCGGGTGAAAGTGAGGGGAAAGGACCGAAGGGTCCCACGCGAATGTAGGACCGGAGGAAGGGGAGATGCTCTGCGATTTGGCAGTGGGAAGAGGGATCGGAGGAGCCGATGCAGAGTCGATGTTCCCACTTGGTGAGAGAGAAGGAACTGGGGTGGGACTGACGAGATTGCTGACCTAAGGGGTTGGTACTCATTAGGGGAAGGATAAGGTTTGAAGAGGAAGGGGCTCTCAGGTGGCCAGTCGTCTGGTCTTGAAGGCCAGAAGGAGAGAAATGGGGTCAAGACAGAAAAGGAACCCTTGGGGACTGATATAGGGCTTTGGCGTTTTCACAGGTGTCTTTCATAGCGTGGGAGATCTCTAGGGTAATATACTTGGATTATGGGGCTTTCTTGTTTGTGGACAGTGAGTCCTTATGAGAATCTGGGATGAGAAGGGTGTTCTTTAACACTGATTTGCCCAAAGGACTAGGAGAAGTAGTGGAAAGGAAGTGATGTTTGGAAAAGATAGCGAAAGGAGTGATTCTGAGTATAAAGATAAATCCTTTGAATTTTTTATAACAGTGATAGCATGTTTCTCTTTTTTGGTTTGTATTTTATTTAAATTTAAATTTTATCTTAAATACCTGACAAGTTTAGGCAATCTTTAAAAAAAAAAAGATTTAATACTTTATTTAAAAAAAACTAAAGTCGAAACGAGTTTGGATACTTAGATTTTTCAGATACTCAGTACTGACTGGTTTCACTCTTGATAGCTTGAGTTGACATATACTGGTCACGGGGTAAAAATATGGTCACTGCAAGTGTCTGGGTTAAAAGTGTCTCGTTTTATTTACCTAAAAAAGTAGATAAAACTGAAATCACCGGAGACCAGGAGACTACCAGACCTTCTTCTCTCCCATGACTCCAGAATTGGAGTTATCTCTTGAAAACTGGAAGGGTACCCTTGACAGATTTGCAGGACCAATACTTTGCAGATATTGTATAAATAATATTTTTAGTAGAGTTATCTAGAATAAGAATAGAGGATGCTTGTAGCTGTCAGTTAACAGAACTGGGATAGGTGGGTACACAGATGCCTTTTAGTGTATGGAAGACATAGTACCAAAACCATGATTGTGCCAGAAAAATAATGATTACCATATCTATATTTAGTTGAAATAGGTTTTCTTTTATAATTGTTAAATAGCATGGTTTGGTGAAGTGTTTGACTAGCCACATCTCATTTTGTTTTACAACTTTTTATACAGTTATAGGTTTACAAAGTTGTTGGCATTTCAAAACAAAGTTTTAATAAAGTATTTCTAATCTAAATGGGTATCTTAACAGTTTAATCCTTTTTTTTTTTATGGCTATTTTTTATTTATTTGTACTTAAACAACAAACCAGCCAAACTGGTACTACTATGATGTGGCAAAATAAAAAACATTGTTCTCCAAAAATAGAGTGATGAACAAATTAGGGGCTGTAGTAAAATAGATAAAAGGGGTGGAGGAAATCAGTAAAGCGCCCTTCATCTTAAGGACTGAGATTCTTAACAAGTAAAGCCTTGCCATCCCAGAAAATATGAATAATCCTCATCATACGTCTTTGTACTTTTGCTCCCTGTGCCTGAAGTTAGATTCTAGGTCCTAAAAGTATCGAAAATATTATATATTATATCCAAAATGCTATAATCGAGTTATCTATAGCCAGACACCTTTTGTCATGTTGTACAATGCTTCTGAAACCTCTTATTGGACTCATTACCCTTCCCTCAAATTGACACAGAAGATATAGTGAAAAGCAGCTTCCTAAGGGGAAGCGGTACAGAATTCTAAAACGAGAAAAATTCTAGAGAATATACAGTCTCTGCTCAGGTTAAGATTGCATATAATAGCCGTCACAAATAGCCGTTACAAATCTTCAGGCTGTATGTTGAGAGGGTAGTTTGGGAATAAATCCGTGATTTGCTGCTGGGAACTAAAATACTTGACAGTTTGCTTCAGATACTCAGTACTGACTGGTTTCACTCTTGATAGCTTGAGTTGACATATACTGGTCACGGGGTAAAAATATGGTCACTGCAAGTGTCTGGGTTAAAAGTGTCTCGTTTTATTTACCTAAAAAAGTAGATAAAACTGAAATCACCGGAGACCAGGAGACTACCAGACCTTCTTCTCTCCCATGACTCCAGAATTGGAGTTATCTCTTGAAAACTGGAAGGGTACCCTTGACAGATTTGCAGGACCAATACTTTGCAGATATTGTATAAATAATATTTTTAGTAGAGTTATCTAGAATAAGAATAGAGGATGCTTGTAGCTGTCAGTTAACAGAACTGGGATAGGTGGGTACACAGATGCCTTTTAGTGTATGGAAGACATAGTACCAAAACCATGATTGTGCCAGAAAAATAATGATTACCATATCTATATTTAGTTGAAATAGGTTTTCTTTTGTAATTGTTAAATAGCATGGTTTGGTGAAGTGTTTGACTAGCCACATCTCATTTTGTTTTACAACTTTTTATACAGTTATAGGTTTACAAAGTTGTTGGCATTTCAAAACAAAGTTTTAATAAAGTATTTCTAATCTAAATGGGTATCTTAACAGTTTAATCCTTTTTTTTTTTATGGCTATTTTTTATTTATTTGTACTTAAACAACAAACCAGCCAAACTGGTACTACTATGATGTGGCAAAATAAAAAACATTGTTCTCCAAAAATAGAGTGATGAACAAATTAGGGGCTGTAGTAAAATAGATAAAAGGGGTGGAGGAAATCAGTAAAGCGCCCTTCATCTTAAGGACTGAGATTCTTAACAAGTAAAGCCTTGCCATCCCAGAAAATATGAATAATCCTCATCATACGTCTTTGTACTTTTGCTCCCTGTGCCTGAAGTTAGATTCTAGGTCCTAAAAGTATCGAAAATATTATATATTATATCCAAAATGCTATAATCGAGTTATCTATAGCCAGACACCTTTTGTCATGTTGTACAATGCTTCTGAAACCTCTTATTGGACTCATTACCCTTCCCTCAAATTGACACAGAAGATATAGTGAAAAGCAGCTTCCTAAGGGGAAGCGGTACAGAATTCTAAAACGAGAAAAATTCTAGAGAATATACAGTCTCTGCTCAGGTTAAGATTGCATATAATAGCCGTCACAAATAGCCGTTACAAATCTTCAGGCTGTATGTTGAGAGGGTAGTTTGGGAATAAATCCGTGATTTGCTGCTGGGAACTAAAATACTTGACAGTTTGCTGTATTACGTTATAATTTTCCCCAGCAGTTCCCAGGGTGGCCTCCAGATCACAGACAGGAGAATTCTGCTGGAGCTGGATTCCGGGCTGCAGGAATTCCTCCATGTAGTTGTTGAACTGATTGTTCCAAGGCTGGTTATTCCAGGCTTGGGGACACCAGGCCTGACTGTTCCAGGGGTGGTTGCTCCAAGACTGACTGTTCCAGCTCTGGTTGGTCCACGTGGGATTATTCCAGGTCTGGTTACCCCACATGGGCAGGTTTCCAGGAGAGTTCACCCAAACACCGCTGGTGGTAGGAATAGAAGCCCAGGTATTCTGCTGTTGCTGGGCCCTGAGGCATGCCATTGCTATTCCTTGGCCAGTTGTTTTTCTGCCATTTCTTACATTTCATTCTCTGGTTCTGGAACCAGGTCTTCACCTGCTTGTAGCTGAGGTTCAAGATGTTGGAAAGTTCTTGCGTTTGCTGGAGGCTGAGGTATTTCTGCCTCTGAAATCTGTCATTGAGCACACACAACTGGGTCTGTGAGAACACAGTTCTGATCTTCCGTTTCTTGACTGGGACGTTCTCTTCCTTCTCTGTGCTCTCCTCCGCAGACGGAGGCAGTGGTTTCACTCTGGGGCTTGTGGAAGAATCAGGACTGTCCTGAATAAGCAGATCCATGGAGGAAGGAAGAGGAGAGACAGTGTCCGTGTCGAGGGTGTCAGCAGATGACATTTGCAAGGATGCGTAACTTTCTTCAGGCATGGGTGCAGATTCCCTAGAGTTGGATGCTTTGGGGACAAGCTGGATCCATACTCATTTTGTTGAGTTGAAGAAGATGGGGAAAAGCCTAAGAGCTAGATGCTAGATGCTAGGAAAACTCCAGGCTGAAGAATCTAGGTAGAAGAACTTAGGGAAAGGTGAGGATCTCCAGGTGTGAAAGTATTTATTAAAAAAAAAAAAAAAAAGACGGAATGAAAGGTGTCACCTGCGAGATAAGAGCCAACCAGTCCTTAACAGTTTAATCTTAATGAGATGAAAATTTACTTCTTGCAGCTAGTTACTAAATTAGTTTATGTGTATACACTATATGTCATATCTTCACATGCTCAGTGGACTGATAATTGTTTCTTCAAAGGAGAGATGAATTCTTAGCCTTGCTTTTAGCTATTGTTAAAAAATTAGCTCCTTTTTCTTTAATACAATTGAGAAAGTATATATACTGTTGTTTATTTATGTTTGTTTACCCTCACTAAACTGAGATTCTCTAGAGATCTTGTCTTCATACATAGCTCTAAATAAAAGTCTTGGCATGTAAAAATTTGCTGCACTGAACTGAAGTATAACTCTATTAAGATTACATCTTAATGCTAATGCAGAATTAAAGGAACTTTTGGATGAAGTTGTACAGTTAATATATTAGTGTGCCTAATAGTTATTTTGTCTTTGATTAGCCTTGACAGTTTTCACAGCCACTTAGTTGTAAATAAAATCATTTTTATGGTACAGCAGTTTCTCTTAGGCAAGACAGTAAGTATTACTCCCAAATAAGCCATTATGACTGCAATGGCAGAACATGCAGATATATTTAGATAATCATTTTTTATTTCAGTAGCATCTTGGCCATTCTGCGAAGACTCTTCACACTGTGCAGTTCCTCGTAAGCATTTTTATTTTGTTAATCACTATACCCTCAGTGCTTTTTCAAAACTTTGCCATAGATAATTTAGAGACATTTTCATGACTTTTCTTAGAATTGAAATTTGAATACTGTTTTGGGGAAACTGTTGAATCACACATGTTCTAATGAATATTATTATTTTGTCTTGTAACAGCGACCATATTAACTAGTTACTCTTTCAAAATTCTTACCTCATAGGCCTGATACAATACTATGGTGTTACTAGTAGGATGTATTTAGCATGGCCATTGTTCATGACAGTGATTCTTATTTATGTGTTTGTGCTTCTCTTGGCTTTGAGAAATCAGGAGGTTAACTTAGGCACCCTTTGAGAACATTTCAGTGTTTATATGCTGCCTTTTTCATTGTCTGGTAATTTACCATCTGCATATGTGGATATAGATTTGTGACGTACCTGTACCCTCTCCTCCCATACACATAGCACCATCATCATTGGATCTTAATCTCCCTGACTTCAGGCTTCTATATTTGATGTGTTTTGCTACTTCACTAAATTCTGCACCCTATTAGTAATAAAATCACCTCACTGCAGAATGTAACCTAATATAAGTGTATCTTGGCTTTTGCTTAGGATAGTAGAAACTAGGAAAACTTGGTCATAGTAGTTTCAGCATAGAGTTTCACCATTAAAAAGTGCTTTATGATATGTACCTTAGAAGAATGTTGTGGAGGCAGAAACCTATTTTTATATTTGTCTTGAATATTATGTGTTTTGTATAGCTTTTGAATTGTGGCTGAGACAAGAGAGGTGGTAGTATGTCTATTATCTTGACCCTCTTTCTGTTCTCTTAAAGTTCTTGATAGGTAAGAAATTCTGGTAGGGAGTGAGAACCATGAATTTAGGTTCTCCCTGTAAGTTAAACTGTGTTTACTGAGTTTCTGGAGATGCCTGCAAGCTGGTTTTAGTGTGGAACTTGGAGACTAAATTAAATTGATGTCAGTTTCATCAATGCAAATTGGTATGAAAGTCAAAGATTCCCAGAATCATACATTAAATTTTGGAGCCAAATCCATTGTATTTGCACAATATTGTAATGGAGCGTGAAGTCTTGAGCCAGTTTTTCATTTTCCATTATGCTGATTTGATTTAGAGGTCTAGCATATTTAAAAATAAAGATCTTTACCAGTCTGTCAAACCATTGCTAGCCTGCCTGAATATTATTTTAGTGACTAGAATAAGAATTTGAATTTTATATACTTCTTTACTGGTGTGCTCTGGCATGCAGCCAGGTTAAGTATTCTTCATCAAATTTACCAGTAAATTTTAGCCGTTGTGTAAAAACTTTTACTATAATTGAGGATGTAACCTACACAGTGTTGTCTATAAGATTCTTAGTCATTGAATTGAGATAGTTCTGACTGTGATATAGAATTAGGTGCAACCTAATAGTGAAAGTCTTAATTTAAATGCATGTTGGAGTCAGAAAACTTTTGTGTTCTGACAACTTTTTTAATAACGGTAGGTAACAGTGTATGGTCTGGGGCTGAAGTGTAGTCAAGAGAGTGATAATGTAACTGAAGAGGCAGTTTAATGTATTTCAAATGTGCTGCCCTGGATTCTACTGCCCAGGAGTGGGATATAGCAGAAGGGTAAAAAAAAATCACTGCTAGTACAGAGCGAAGTAAATCAGAAAGAGAAAAACCATTATCATATGTCAATGTGTATATGTGGAATCTGGAAAGGTGGCACTGATGAACCTATATGCAGGGCAGCAGTGGAAGCATAAATATTAGAGAACAGACTTGTGGACACAATGGGGAAAGGAGGGAAATTGGGAGAGTAGCACTGAGACATAAATATTACCGTATGTAAAGTAGATAGCCGGTGGGACTCTGCTGTGTGACGCAGAGAGCTCAAATTGAGCGCTCTGTGACAGCGTCGGATTGAGAGGGGGAAGGAGGCTCACAAGCGCGAGGACGTATGTACCCCGTGGCTGATTCATGGTGATGCGGGGCAGAAACCAGCACAACATTGTAAAGCACATATCCTCCATTTAAGAATAAATACATTTTAAAAATTTACTGCTAGTGTTTCAAAAATGGTAGTAAGTGGTTCTGGCTCTTTGAAACTGTTTTGTAATTATAGCAGATTCATAGATACTTGGAAATGGTGCTTACTAAGAAACAAACTATCTTTTGATAACTGTAAAGAGAAAATAATAGTTTTTTTTTTGCTCAATGAAAAGCTTTCAATTTAGGATTAAAAAATTTTCATGGGCTTTTTGAAAAGCTGCATAGTCCCAAATATTATAAACTGAGAGCTAAATGACCAAAGTAAATCTTGTCCTCTTACATTTTGGTTTGCTTTCATAAAAATTGCTGTCTATGGGGTCGCACAGGGTCGGACAGGACTGAAGCGACTTCGCAGCAGCAGCAGCAGCAGCAGCATAAAAGTTACATTTATGCTCTGGTTTATGGATCTGCACACTGGTATAATTTGTCTTTACTATGCATATTAAATAAACTTTATTAGATAAAGTTGGATTTAAGCTTATTTTAGTGTGAGTGCAACTGTAATGTATAATAGCTTTAAGGAGAATAGATTAACATTAACTTCATAAGATTAAAAAAAATCTCTTCCTCATTTTTTGTCTTGATATATGGGTATTATTTCTTAGATTTTATACATCACTTGGAAATGGTAATTTTTAAAAAAATTTACTGGATCCCAAATCAGGAATAACTTCCTAAAACAGCACATATATTTATGAACCAAATTTCATCAGTCGTTCTAAATTCCTTTAGGGACATTTAAATGTGTGGTTTTTGAAGACAGTGTATGATATTTAAAGTGGACAGTTATTTCAGGCAGCTGTATTTCAGTATTTGTACACACACACAATCTAGTGAAACTACAAGAAAAATCCAACCTTCTTATTTATTTATATATTTATGTATTCCATTATGGTTTATTACAGGATATTGAATATAGTTTCCTATGCTATACAGTAGAACCTTTTTGTTCATCCATTCTATATGTAATTGTCTGCTGTTTCCAAACTCCCAGTCCACTGCTCCCTCCTCTACCTCGGCAACCACAAGTCTGTTCTCTATGTCTGTGACTCCAGTTTCTGTTTTGTAGATTAAGTTCATTTGTTTCACATTTTATGTTACATATATAAGTAGTATCATGTGACATTTATCTTTCTGACTTACTTTGGTATAATAATATCTAGGTCTGCCCATGTAACTTCAGATGGCATTGTTTCATTCTGTAAGAAAAATTCAGTATATTTAAAACACTACAATCACCATCTGAACAAAGACTTTGTTTCTGTAAAACACATGACCAGTAAAGGTTTTGTTTTGTTGATAATGTCTTCATTATATCTAAAAAACTGCATAACGATAAATCAGAAGCCATTTAGGTCTCTTGTGTGTTTGTGTAATTAAGACCAGGGGAGTGGTGTGTGTCTTTCCACTTATTGGTGCCTGTCACTTTAGGAAATTTTCCCAGTGAATTCCCAAATTGTCATAGTGTAGAACTTCTTTTGGTGTCAGCAATAATCAATTACATCAACCTATGACATACTTTTAAAATATGTTGGTGAGTCGTATGTTCTTGTTGAAATATTTTTGTTTAGTTAAATCTGATATGAAATAAATGTATGAGAGAAACTCATGTTGACATATAGAATTCTGCATTGGTTAACTGGAATCACTATTGTATTGTTACTTTGTTTTTTAGTTCTTGTTACTTAATTGCATTATTGTTTCCCTTAAAGATAATTCTACCTTGAGTAAAACCTTTATAAAATTTTAACGGTTGTTTTCAAATACTCATTTCTTTTGTATTAACAAAAGATTTCTAGATTTTGTATTAACAAAAAGATTTAAAGAGTTAAGAGTGGGTTTGATCATTAGTTGATAGATGACTGATTTTTAATTTTATTAAACTTGATTAAATCCTAATGATTTAATTTCAGGTCTAGGGCAACACCAGCAAACAGCAGAGTTGATGGGGGCAATACCAGCTTACATTTACTGAGAATTTCTCTTTGTCACATATTACTACAATTGCATTACTTGTATTAGTCCTTGTATTCTTTACAACAAGCCTGTGGAGTAAAGAACTAGTATTCTCATTTTACATATGAAAATAGTGACTCCCCAAAATG